TAAAAATATGCCCAAATTTAGACAAATGTGTATGCTGAGCCAGTTTAAAGCAACGTTGGTTGATCACAGTTGTGTGGTTCTACATCTTCCTGTTACCCTTCTCTCCGTTGGAAATACGGGTATGAGCATATTGTGAGGTGCTACCTTTTTTCTTTCAAGAAAGTAAACTGGTCTAAAAGCTGTTAAGCTTTAGCAATCTACTGGAAAGGCACTTAAATAATTCTGTGTATACAATAATAGTTTTATTGAATAAGGCTTCACTCACTACTTAGGAGGCAGGAAGCTGTTATCACCTTTGTTTTATAGACAAGATTGTAGAAAGAAAGAGTTTTTTAAAAAAAGTTTCATTAAGCAAATACTGTACCCTTAATGTGCCATACCTATGAGTTGTTCACTTTTCCCTTGATTTAGCAGAACTCATATTCAAATGCAAGTGCTCAACTGTAGTAAAGCAAATAGCTAAATCCCATGGCCTTCTGAACACAGGTGTAGGATTCCCAAATCCTGATTCCTAATATTCTTTTTCTGTCTAGCAAATAAATAGGTAAACTACTGGCAACATGTCATGTCTCCAACCACTGGCTGGCTCACAGAGGATAGCTGCCTCCTGCTGCTTTCATTTACTCCTTTAGCTCAAGGGGTAGAGGCCTGTGCCATGGATCTAAAGCTTCCTGCTGGTGACCCGTACAGGGGGTCAGTATGCTTCCACCCGATGGAATTTCTATTTGTGTTTTTTTAAACAGAAATAAAGACATTGTATACAATAAGCCACAACTTGGTTTTGTATCTGCGAAAGTCAAGTGCTAGAATTAACATTTGATGAACAGTCTTAGTTTGGATCCATCCTAGATCTTGTGATGGTCTTCAATTGATATACAGTAGGCCATTTGTTTACAGGAATTTTACTTGAGTGCGCATTATAAACAGATACAGAATTATCTGTTTGGATTTTGACCCACTACATCCACATCATGACTTGATATTGAGAAAGACTATGGTAACAGATGCACAAAGGGGACTGTTAACAGTGTCCAGAGAAGTGTCTGTGCATTTTCTTTAAGATTATTTACTTGACTCTGCAACCTTAACACACCGAGTTTAGTTCTTAAAATTCTGTTTGAACTTTGTGCTTCACAAGATGTGGAGAACAGTCTCAAACTTGATTTCCTGAATTAAAATACTATCAAACAAATTTTCAGTAAAATAAGCTATTAGCTAGATGTTAAAATAATGGTAGATTTTATTCCTTATATAATAAGCTATAAATTATGTTGAGACTGTGGAAGCTTTCATCCCAGTGGATTTTCTTCCTCCAAAAATTCTGAAAATACGAAGTTGGAAGAGATTTGTAACCTAGTCTGTATTTTTAGACAAAATCAGCATTTGGCATTTAAGTAGTAATTTTTGTTCAGGAATCTCAGAATATTGTCTAAATAGCATTCATAATATCTCTGAAGTGGTAGGTATTCCCTTTGATTATTTTTTTAAAACTAGCTCAAATTGCTAGGTGAAACTAAAACCAAAAGCACTGTTCAAGGTCAAACCTAAAAGTTAGTAGCAGGGTAAAAAAAATGTACATAATGCTGTAAGACTGTTTCATGTGTTGTTTATATTTTGACAGCAAACCAACAATTTCAGACATTTTATTTTCCTATTCTTCCTTTTTTTAGACTGGAAAAAGAGCATTTTATGTTGGTGATCTTGGAAAGCTTGTGAAGAAGAACATACAATGGCAGAATGTGATGGCACCAATAAAACCATTTTATCCTGTAAGATGCAATTCTACTCCAGGTGTACTTGAAATTTTGGGAACCCTTGGTGTTGGATTTGCATGTTCCAGTAAAGTAAGTTTTTTCTTTTCTGTGTATCTGTGTGCCTTTTCTTCCATACATCTGCTGTTTTTAAAATCAGCTTTTTGGTATCAAGTGCCATGGTTATAAATAATATAACTTAAATTGTGAACTCCTGTGTAACTGGCTGTTGAAAATCTATACTTCTACTCTAGAAGCAGTGGAAAGTTGTTTTGGTTTTTTTTTTCCTGGTGTATTTGACTATTTAGTCCAGTACTAGAGCACATGTAATTAAAAATCAGTAAAGATACTGCACTGGATTGTGTCAAAGTCTGGTTTGTTCCTGTTTTTCAGTCTGAAATGGCATTGGTGCAAGACCTGGGCATTTCTCCTGAAAACATTATATATACAAATCCTTGCAAGCAAGCTTCTCAAATAAAGTATGCAGCAAAAGCTGGGATAAACATCATGATTTGTGACAATGATATTGAGCTGAAGAAAATTGCACGTAACCATCCAAATGCTAAGTAAGTGTCAAAATTCTGGTTTTGCTTTTCATGTGAGGGAGACTGAGTTTTGCCTGTATTCTGGGTTGTTTGAGTTGCAAGCAAGGTACATGGTGGCTTTAGTACACTTCACTTCTATTTTTCTCTCCTCTTTGTCTCCTTTGAAGGTAGATTTTTTTCAACATTTTCCCTACTGGGTCTCAGCTTACTAAAATGGTAGTAAGGCCCTTGTTTTGGGAGAAGTCTTGCATTTTGATTTCACAGGGCAGCCTTCATGTAAAGGTTTCAGTGATTAAAGTTCAGAATTCTGGCACCTCATCTGCAAGTACATCTTTCTCCTGCTTTGTTGTGGCTTCAGGGTATTCTGCTTGGATATCAGTGACTTGGGCTGAGATTATCAGCAAATGAGCATGTGTATTGGGTCATCTAGGGTTTCACACACTCTGCATCAGAGCACATTAAGAAACTGAATTCCTGACATTCCTTTACAAAGCCCTTGGTTCTACACAGTCCTTATTAAAGCATTATGTCTTCTCCCAAAACTGTGACCATAGTTGTGGAATTGGAAAGATTCTGCCACATTTGGTATTGGAGGCTTTGCTCATCCCACCTGTTTTGGGTGCGTTTTTTTTACTACCTTGAGAGTTAACATTGCTGTTGCTAGTGATTACACTCCATCCTCATGGAAGCCTGTAAGTGCTTTTCATACTGGAGAGTACTTCCTGTGCAAAGAATGTTATCTGTGATAAATAATTTTGTGTGTAAAATCTTGGCCTTGACATACTCCATGTGTTTGAAAGCCTTGGCAATGCTAAAGCTGTCTTTTACGTCAATAGTGTTTTACCAGTGTAAAACACTGGTGGCTTTAATGTTTTGTTAGTATTTACATTGATTTATTTCCTTGAGTCTAACAGCCTCTTTCAGAAGATGATGTCTGTTGTAACATCCACAGCAAGGGAAGTTAGGATGCACATTTTCTTGAGCCAGAGAAATTGCAAAGCAGGGATACAGAATGGAGTTTCATGAGCTAAACAAAACCAGCATAAACTCTTTACTTCTTTTCAAGGATCCAACAGTCTAATATTAGAAAAGTTCCTGTTTACCAAGGACAAGAAACTTAATTTCTGCAAAAGAAAGTCAAAACCTGTGTATAGCCTTGTTCATCCTATGTGTCGTTGTAATAGCTAGGTTGTCTTTTTGTAGATAAAGCTAATTATGTTTTGGCTGAGGAAAGCCTGCTTAGAAGGCTATAACTCTTATTTTCTGAAAATTCTGGTAACTTTCTGCACTAAACTCAGTAATGGGTGGGTCTCTTTATAATTGATATTTCTGCCTTTGGAAGTATTAGTAATGCGAATGATTGAAAATTCTTTTCAAGAGGAGAAATGTAAGGAGTGCTTAGGTTTTCATTTCTTTATACCTTTGGATTTTTCCAGGCAAAGTTTAACTGCTAAGGTTGCTGGTGTCCTAAGAGCCCCGGTAGGGCATGGGTGTTATAAATATCAATGCTTCCTTAAAGGTAAACCAACAAACAAAAAACCAAACCCCAAACACACACATTGTCCTCTAGCTCTGCTCTAACTGGCTGAAACCCAGGAAGAATACTACCAGATTTCTAGAAATCATAATTACACTTTTTTCAGTGGTTTACACTATAAAAATATCTTGACTCACTTATAATGCTGCCATAACAATTCAACAATAAAATTTAACATTGGATGTCTTTAAGAAATGTGATGTTACAAACCATAGTATTATGGATTTGAAGCTTTTTACATTCTAAAGAGTAACTTTTGACATTTTTTTATATCTAGCACTCTTTCCAAATGCTTTACAAAATATTGCTGGACTACAGATTTCTTGAACAGAATTGTCTGCTAGTGGAGAAGCAGGAAATGAGAGGCTATTTTCTCAAGATGAAGTGGTATAAATGAAAACTAACAAGGATTGCTGGGCAACCTGTGTGAGAACTTAGGATTTATTTTGCTCTTTACAAGAGGCATTTAAAACACATTGAGGTGTTTGGAAAGGACTTTTATAAATCAAGGTAGCTGTTAGGCCAACATGTATTTTGTAGTGGCTAGGCTAAGTTTTGCTTGTTGTGTGTGTTGAAAAGAACTATTTCACTTTTGGTGCAGAGCTTCTACCAGTTTTTTATGCTCTCCATCCTGATTAACTGTAACGTGCTCTGTGCAGTCTGCATGTAAGTCATGACACAACTTCTGTTTAGTTTACCATATGGCTAATCAATTGATCCTTGGGGTGGGGGGAGGAAGCCAGTGACTTTCTTAGTGGACAGCAGTTTAAATTTATAAGTTTTGGGTGTATGCCTCTAGGGGTTTTGATGTGAACATGCCTTTGCCACTCAAGTGTTACTTTAACATAGAAAACTGTCCACACTGGCACTGCAGTTTGCCAGACCTACCCGAATGAGGCTTTGACTGGAGGGAGGAAGCTGTCTTGCTGTGTAAGACTGCAAGAGATGGTCCTTGTTGCCTCCCTGCTCCACAGGGAAGAAGGGGCAGGGAATGAACTGACACCCCCAGCCCATCGCCAGTCCACATGCTCAGCCAGGAGGGGAGGTGGAGGCATGTGGTCAGGGTGTGCCCTCAGTGTGTCAGCCTGGTGTTCTCCACATGCTGAGTTTAACCAGATCTGATACCTGACTGACTGAAGGGTAATCTCCATGCTCTCCTCTTGACTAGAAAAGAGGATAGAGATGGAAAAAGCATATTAAAGTCTTAAAGTATATTTCCTGGTAAAACCATTATTAGAAGGTAACATTCTCTTTTATTACAGCACTCAACAGACTCTTGCTGCTACAAAAGAGTCTTAGTTGCTGCATTTCGAAATCCCTTGTCCTTGTTGGCTCCATGTTTTAGCCCCTAATTGCTAGTTTTTTCTCTGTACAGGATTGTTTTTATTAGGTTCACTTGACTCATCCATCGATGGAGCTGGAGTACTGACAACATAATCAACACACTTCTGACAGTCTTCAGGCTTCACATGTGCTGATGATGTAAACCAACTGCCCCAATCATCTTCCCCTTCTCTTAGGCTCTTACTGCACATTGCCACAGAAGACATTACTGCTGATGAGGAGGTGAATATGAAGTTTGGCACCACCCTGAAGAACTGTAGGCACCTCATGGAATGTGCAAAGGAGTTGGGAGTCCAAATAGTTGGTGTTAAGTGAGTAACTTTATTGTTCTCTGCTGGCTGAGCAGATGTTTGGATTATATACTCAGACTTAGAATACAAAAGAATTCCTCGCCCTTGCTCTGGCACTATTATACAGGTTTTTGGTTTGTTTTTTTTTAAAAACAAAACCAAAACACCACAAACAACTTTTGGATCATGAGTTCTTGCTTGCAAGCTAAGCGTTAATATCCAAGTAGAAATTAGTATGCAACAAACTATTACAGCTATCAAAGCTATTTGAGTATCAGAAATTCTTCTGTTAACATAAAACCAAAGTTTAGAAGCCTCTCCTATTTTCTTGCTGTACTCTTCAACTTCTGTGGTAATGTGTTTTGTAGCAATAAACAGCGTAACAGATCAGTGTGAGTATAGCTTGGGATAGCTTGGACAGACTTTGAACAGGATGAACATGGTGTTTGATTTTCTCAGAGTTAGGTCCTATGTCACTCTTTGATCATATCAAGACAAAATACTTAGATGAGTTTGACTTGCAGGTGGCAGGAATGAATCCAAGTGTTCTGAGAGCTTCCAAATGATCTGTGGTATTTTAATTTGAAGTTTGATGCAAAGAATTTACTGTATGGAGGAAAAATGCACACACAAGTCTCTGTTCTGTCTGCCTTCAGCTACTAATGCATCACATGCTCATGAATGTTTTAAGAAAGCAACCAAACAAGTAAAAGAGGGTGGGTCATCAAGGCAGTAAAAACAGTATTTAAAATGGAAGCCAGATTTTGAGGATTTAAACCACAATTTTTTTGATATAAATCTGTTTGAAATTGATGTGAAATTAAAGCACAAACATATTGTAATCATTACAAATGTATTTAAAAATCAGATGATACTACTGAGAAAATGTACCTCTTCTATATAATGTCTAACTTCAACAAAAATCACATAGCTTTTTTGCATTTTCTTTATTTAAAATTTAAAAAAATTCACATGCAGATTCATACAAGTAAGTTTAAAAGTGACCTTTGCCTCACAATGGCATTCCTTAAAGAAGTGAGTAGGCTTGGACTAGAGAGCATTGTAGCTCAGATGGGTATGTGCGTGGTTTGTCCAGAACCAGCAGACCATTCTAGTCTTTAGGAAACACATGATAATGTTGGTGGTGGCTTTAGCACCTCAGTTACTACCGGTATTATGGCACCACTTGAACCTCTTGGAAAAGGAACCAGAGGAGCTTGTGGGAAGCATCTGTACCTTTCTGCTTCTGATGACCTGCTTGCCGGCCTGTTCAGCCTTGCTATGAAACCAGGACCTGACCTGGGGTGAAGAGGCTTCAGATTAGGCTGGCAGTGGGACACACCTCTATTTGCTCTCTCCCAAATGTTGGGGAGAGTAGGGAGTGTGAATGGTAGAGCCCTAGCTTTGAGAGGAAAACTGGGTGGCCCAGGAGAAAGGGGACACAGGCAAGGCAATAGAGTAGGGCACGAGAGGGGAGACTGTACAGCTACTGTCTTAGCATTGGCACCCACTCAGAACAGATTTTAACCACTGTGATAGTGAAGGCTGAAAGGTTCAGGAAATGTGTTATTTCTTAAAGATGAGAATATTGTAGGACATTCTCAGCGTTAAGAGCAAGAATGGTCCTCAATTGCAAATTCAATGGAATAGAAGGCAACCGTCTTCTGAGCTTATTCTCTGCACAGTTACTGTATTATCATGCAAGCTTGTCTTGAGCCACTTGGAAATTAATTGCTTCCATTGCTGTTCTAGATGGTGAAACAGTTTGCTTGGTCTGAAAGCTGCACGGTTCGGTGTACTAACTGTGCTTTTATTTCTTTCAGATTTCATGTTTCAGGCTCTTGCAAGGAACTGCAAACGTACATTCATGCTATATCTGATGCTCGGTGTGTGTTTGACATGGCTGTAAGTAGATACATATGCACATGCAATTGCTACAGTAGAGGATCTGTTCTAATCATACTAACAAGCCAACTACATTATTTCCAAAATATATCAATGTAGGAAATGGAACTTTTTAGTAAGGGACTAAATACTCCGTTGTGAGTTGTGTGGCAGAGATAAACTTTATAATAATACTAATTGTGGATGAACAGTAATGAATACTGTACTGCTGACAGGCAGTAGCCTTGTATGCTATTGAAAAAAAAGTTTCCCACTTTTGGTAAAGGCTTTTTGAAATTCAAAGCTCAGTCCTGCACATACACAGTTGACAGTTAAGTTATATTAAAATATTAAGCATTTGTGTGCTGGCATTTATAGTGTTACAACCACTAACTTGGTGCATGTGATTTCTGAGATTAACTAAGCATCATAAGAAATAAAGGTATCATATTGGGGGGGGGAATATCCAACTTTGGATGGACAGGAATGGATTTGTTGGATGCTTCAGATGACTCGTGAGTCTTACATGTTTTGTGTGTATTTCTCACATTGCAAAATTCAAAAATCCCTTCTCCGAACATCTGTCTTCCTATAAATGAGAAGCTTGTAAACTAAATACAGAGGACTGCAAATCTTTTTACTCTTGTTACTGCAATTAGTGCATTAGCTGTGACTGGTAACACACAGAGGGCAACAGAACTGAAGTTCTCACTGATCTTTGTGCAGATTCATTGTAGCAGTCTTGTTGCTCAAGCACTATCCAAAAAACTTGCATTACATATATTTATAAATTCCTAAAACTTTCTTTTGTTGGAATGCACCACCCTGTTCAGTAAACACAGGGTGAATATAACAAATGCTGCAGAATGGGAGTTGACGTTGCTGTGGGACTTGTACTTGAGAATTGTGTAGCCAGCCTCTACTGACATCCCAATGCTATTACTATGAGGTTTAATGGAGCTATACTAACTCTTATGATGCTGTTAGTCCCTTGCTAGACATACTCTGCTAAATATGCTCCAAAGTATAAGTACATAGAAAACAACCACAGTAAGGACCAACAAAAAAATACTTTTATGATTACAGTTGTTAATGTGCTTACATTCTGCCTATGCATTTTAGGAAGAATTTGGCTTTAAGATGAACATGTTGGATATTGGTGGGGGCTTCACAGGTTCAGAACTTCAGCTGGAAGAGGTATGCAATGTATTGGAAGTTGAAACTCTTAATTTTAATTTAGGAAGTTGAAGTGTTTAACCTTCCAACTGCAGCTAACATTGATAATTGAAACCTATTCTAAATTCCATGTTAGACTGTAATTCATAAGATGCAAATAATTGGGTTTATGTTCTTTATCATGGGTCATGTAATCAGTCCTTGGAGGGAGGTGATCACTATTTCTTTTTAATCCTGTTCATATTGGGTGAATGCTGACTTAAGCCTGTCACAGATTAAATTACTGTCCTAAGCCACTTTAACAGTAGTAATTCAGGGGGTTTGGCAGTTGACTGTTGTTGTCCAACCGGCTACTCTGTTGCATGGTTTGGGCCAGGATTGCTTAGCATGCTTTGGGTCATAAACCATACTCCTACTGTATGAAAGTTTCTGGTACTTTGCTTTAGAACTGAAGACAAGAGGTCTTGTTTTTCTTTGCTTTGCCTAGCCTTAAATAAAACTATTACTACTGATTTGGCCTAAATGGGATCTTTAGCATGCAGTAGCACATAGAACAGAATAACCTGTTTACACTGTTATGTTGTCTTAAAGACAAACTCTTGCATACAGGACAGTGAAAGGGATTCAGTGAAAAATTAGTAACAACAATCAGGGCTTTTCTTTCTTAGTTCTAACTGTTCTGTTACTTGTCCAAAATACTTGTTAATCTTCAAATATCTGGCGTAAGATTTGAGCATCAGTATTAAATAATTCATTCAATTGCTAATACAACTTCATTCAGAACTGATCACAAAAAGGTGCTTTCCTTGTTCTTTTGGATTGACACATAATTTTACAGTATGTGGTGTGCTGGACAAACTTTGAAATTGCTTGGGCAGTCTTGAGTGTACCACAACTTGAACCTGGGTTGGGAGGAGGGACCATGTAGTATTCAGATTCATGGTATTCAATCTTCTGTCTTTAGCAGAATGACATATTTTCTCAAGCACTTCTGTAAATTTTGGACCTCGGGTAAGGGCACTTCTTGGACAGTAAGAGGAGCAGAGTAAGCTTTTGATGTGCTTGCTAGAACTGTTGCTGACTGAAACTGTGTGTGTATCTTGATATACATATAAGCTGTTTCATTAGTCTTACCTCTGACTTCAATTTTCTAGGTTAATCATGTCATCAGGCCATTGCTGGATGTCTACTTTCCTAAGGAATCTGGTGTTAAGGTGATCGCAGAGCCTGGATGTTACTACGTTTCATCTGCATTTACACTAGCAGTTAATATCATTGCAAAGAAGACTGTTGAGTATGATAAACTTCTTCCTTCTGGAGGTGAGGGTCGTATTTCTCTCGCACGTTATGAATTGTAGAATGGTTTGGGTTAGAAGGGACCTTAGAGATCATCTAGTTCCAACCAGTAGAGATAACTACCTGCTCTTAGTCACGATGGACTAGTTTGCCTCAGCATATGTTTAATACATTCCCTTATGCTTGCATTGTAATTCACCTTTTGGGTTCTGACTGTGTGTTACCTGTGTATCTCACTCTTTGTTACATTTCTGTGGCACTTGTTTCTTTACTAGGTTTGATTTCTCAATGGTTAAACCTATATTGGGTGCTTCACAGAAGGTGTGTTAGAAGGTTCTCTATTAGAAGAACCTAGAAAAACATCCTGGAGCAAGCTGCTTCTCTGCTACAGTAGAAATTGAATTTATATTCTTAATGGTGATTATTAGTGAAAGTAATTTTATTAAGCTCACACCTAATGTTGCAACTGAATTTATAATCTGGTCTCACACAGATTACTCTGCTCGTAATTCTCCCATTGCAGTATATACGGAACCCCCTTGTCAGGAGAAAGCAGTTGACTTAAGTTAGATTGCAAAAGGAGTACTTATGACAAAAAATGCATGCGAGACAACTTCTTTTTTACTTCCAGTGGAGCAAACCAGGAATGATGATGAACCGGTATTTACATATTACATAAATGATGGTGTTTATGGTTCTTTTGCAAGTAAATTGTCTGAGAAACTGAATGCTATCCCCGAGGTTCACAAGGTGAGTCCTTTTATGTTCTTCAGAGATAGTCCTTATTAGCCTTATTTTTAATATATATCTAAGACTTCATGTGTTTATAACAATATATTATTTATAAAATTATCCTTATGTATATTTGAAATTTTTCTTATTTAATAAACGAAAGCCTAATTACCTGGGTCATTTCCACATAGAAATACAAGGAAGATGAGCCTCTGTTCGCAAGCAGCCTTTGGGGTCCATCCTGTGATGAGCTTGATCAAATTGTGGAAAACTGTCGTCTTCCTGAGTTGAGCGTTGGAGATTGGCTGATCTTTGATAATATGGGTTCTGGTACCTTGGGGGAACAGTCTACCTTTAACGATTATCAGAGGCCACTGATTTACTACATGATGTCTTTCAGTGACTGGTAAGAAAATTCTCTTGGTAGTGGCAAGATTGTTTTTGCTTCCTTCAAGAGTGTGCTGTTAAAGCCAACTATAAACTATATTTGATGGCGCAAATACAGGAAGATGCAGCTGAGCACAAGTGTGCCTCTTTAGTGTGGGTTTTTTTACTATTCTGTCTGACTTTCCTAAGACTAAATGGTGAGCTATGATAAAATACCTGCTTTGCTTCGGGGTTGACAAAGGAAAGCAAAATAATGCAATGTGGACTAGGTTTAATGATAGTTGCTGCTGAGTAATAGCTTTTTACTGCTTGACCTCCACTGTTGAAGTTTCCTAGTACTAGTAATTGCAACTTGCGTACAGCATTGGCACAGTTGCAGGCAGGAGGGGCAGTGACACTGTTGTGGCGATCATGAGCTGGGTAACCTGTTCCAGTAGTGAGATGGCCAGGGCTGTGTGTTTCTGCCAGCGGAGTCACGGCCTTTCTGTGTCCACCAAGCACTTGTGCAGCTGAATCACCTTCTGCTGAGACTGAGGCTAACTTAGCCAGGAGCAGCAGACTGCAAATGCTATATTCAAGGCTGGTTTCTGATGTGGAATTGTATGTGAAATCACTTTATTACCGCTCTCATCCTTTTGTGCTGCAGGGATGAGATGCAAGATGCTGGAATTGCTTCAGACACATTGATGAAGAACTTCTTCTTTGTGCCTTCTTGCATTCAGCTGAGCCCAGAAGACCGCTTTTCCACTGCAGCTTAAAACAGGCATTAACGCTTCATTTAGACCTGCAGTTGCAAGTCTGTAGTTTGTCTGGTCAACATTCCAGTGTGGAAGAAATGGAACAATCTTGAATTCAATTCATTCTCTTCAAAACTTGAAAAAATAGTAATAGCTAATGGGGACCAGGCAAAACAAGCTACAGCTACAATTCACTGGGGGGGTGGGAGGGTTAGATAATGGCATCCAAATTTAAAATCAAGTTCATTCAACCCCTGAGCGTTTAAATATGCAACAAAATGGATGACTTAGTGGAGATGGAAACCCATCACTTGGGTTCTTCAACAGTTTACATACAAGTACACAGTTTTTATACTAAGGATTCCTGTTAGAAAAGTCTTGTAAAGTTATTGTCTTTCGCCCAGATATATCAAATGTCAGTGGGAGACCAGTGTGACTTCATTAGATGTTTAGTGTATTTAGAATGTGTAAATTTGTGCTTTGAACTGTAGTTTAATAAATGTAAAATTGCATCATAGTATTTGTTGTATTTGACCCTTGATGTATCCCTTGTATGATTGCAATAAAACTTTGTGTAGATTTTACTGTTTTTCAGGCTAACTTTGAGAGGGACTAGGCAGAAGAGGTAGCTTTAAAATAGGTGTGTACATGATTGTTTTGAGAAGCTGCCTTTTCTCTAGCCTATTATTTCAGCTTTGTATTAAACCATAAATAACTTAAGCTTGATCACCCTCTATGAACTGAAAGTTGTCTAAGTTCCTGGAAGGCTAAAAGGCAATTTTTGGTGGTTTAAGAGTATGATCCTAAATCAGTTCTTAACATCAACCCTGCAATAGATAGATGTACAGAGAGAGGCGGTCTCTTAGCTAGGTGCATGTAGTGCCCCCAAGGCAGCACAGATTAGTAGGGCTCTGCATTTGTCACAGAACTTTTAGCTCTTTTTTCTTTTTTTTTTAACGGCATTTATTGAAGAGTCTAGCTTTCAGCTTCAGCTAGTTCTGTATAGTGCTGACTCCTAAGAGAAGGGCTACACACATCTTCAGAAACCTCAGTGCTCTTGCGCTGGACTTTATTGAATGAAATAAATCCACAAAGTAAAGGTAGAGCATGCTACTAGAAATACATGTGCCAACTGCATTGAGTAACTGGAACTGCTGAAACTGTTATTATGTTACTGAGCCTCTTCATTTCTTCAAGGTCCTCCTCTTGCTTTCCTGTTGTAACTTCCCCTACTTGAAAACTGGGGGAGGAGGAGAAGGGGTGGCAGGGCTTTGACATGGAGCCTGCTGTCAAGGGGGACTTTTACCACTTCAGTGGAAGGTAAATTTCCTACCTTTTGTTTGCAAATGTATTTTACATGAGTGCTAGCTGGTGGGAAATTGTAACTTCTGGCTCTGTAAAGCAAAGATTCATAAAACTTGATGAACTTTTACTTGGAAGTAAAGAAAATTCTCAATTTGGACTCAACTTCTCAGAACAGTTTTACAGGCCAGCTAGAAGAGGGAGGTACAAAATGGCTTATGTTTTAAAGTCACAGTCCAAGAAATATTTATTACTGGAATTAAATGTGGAAGTAGGAAAGGGGGTAAATAATAGTAGTGGGAAAGCTATTTTGGGGTTTTTTTAAACCTAAAGTTACAAGCCATCCCCATCTTTGAAGAAGCGATACATACCTCAGTCTGCCAGTTAAGGTCTTTCTCTACAGAAAACAGAGCACTGCATGTTTGGGTTTTTTTTTTTTTGACTAAATACAAACTACAGTTGCCTAAGATAATTCAACAGGATTCTGTTACGCAGTCTTGGAGTTGTTTTATGTTAACATACAGATCAGTTGGGAAAAATTCCTCTATAAAGGATACGGTGGTCAGAGCAGAAACATTCATTGTACTTGAGGACAGTTTGCCATTAAAAACAACTTGGAGTTTGAACACAGTATGTATTTCAATTTGATTTGCTAAGTGTTACTATTGTAATTCCAATTCAGAATTTTACTCAAAATACAAAAGGAGAAGGGTTTCCACATAGTAGTCAGAGCTCATGTAGCTCTGTCATACGCAATACTCATGTGCAGCTCCCTGTTGACTGAGGCTGCTGCTCTTGTAGCCCTGCTGGTGGGGCTGGCTGTAGTAGCTGCTGTTTCTTTGCTACTGATCTATGCAAGCAGCATTTTGGTGTATAATACAATTACTCATTGTGCATGCTGAACAGATCCCACCCTAGTGGTGCCAGTTAGCCCTCAGGAATGGGAGGAAATGATTCTACCTTCTCCTTGTGTGTCTAAGCTGCTGTGCGCCTGGCTTGTGTTGGCTTGATACAAGTTGGATGTGTTGCCACTTGGCGTATATACTCTTTATTGCTGCTTTTGGAGTACTCCATTAGTGTGTTTCATAGTGAGCTTATACAGCTTTGAACCCTGCTTTAAAAAAAAAAATAAAAATCCCAAACCAAGCAGTAGCAGATGCTTTAAAAGGTGGAGCATGCACTGAAAAATAGGTTTGCAGGTGTACTTGGATCTTGAAAACACCTGCTTTTAGTCCCTGGTGGCTGGGTAAGGGCCCTGCTCTGCTCTCTGACTCCCACAGAGACCTTTGGTCTCCTCTGGGTGAGGTGCAGAGTGGGTGCTGGGGGCCTTGCCAAGGCCTGAGGCAGCCGCTGAGCCAGGAATACACCCCTGGGGAGAAGGCTGCTTGTAGCCGCAGCAAGGCTGGGTGCTGCTGCCAAAGGGGGCTCTGCTGCTCTGCCCCTCCCGAGGGGCGGGCTGGGTGCTGCCTCTGCCTGCTCCTGCGAGGAGCTGGGAGGAGAAATAGTGAACGTACCGAAGATGGTTTGTCATTGCTGTCTGACTGGAGGAGAAAGTAATTTCTGTGACTGCTACAGTTCTCCAGTCCATGCACTGAAGGAAGGCATTGGACAATACACATTAATCTTTCCTTACAGGAAGCACTATGACCGTGGGCTTCTTGCTTATTCCCTGAACTGTTTCCTCCCTGTATTCAAAATTTCAAGTAAGCAGTGGCATGTAATTCACTACCACAAATTACTACTAATTTATTGCTTTAATACATGATGAGAATCTTGCGCTGTAAGTACTCGCCCAGAGGATTAGGGAAGAGCCTGTGCCTGACAGGCACCGCTTCCCTCTGCTGAGGGGGAGCAGGTTTTGTTGGGGTGCTGGTACTGAGACCACCAAGGGAAGGCAGGTGGAGGTCTTTGACCTAGGGCTGTTCCCTGAGAGCCTGACAACCACAGGACCTGTTCCCTCGGCAGCCCTGGGACCCCTTTACTACAGTCCCTATCCTTGGAATAATGAGCTTTCACTTTATATTTTAATCTCTTTGCAACTGCAGAGTCTTTAATCTGAATTAGGGGCTTTAATAGGATTACCCTGTCACTACATAGGACAAAGCTAATTGTGCTTGTCAACCTGAGCCAGAAAAGAGAAGCTTTTGGGGAGGGGGCAGCAGGAGCTGGTTCCCTGTCCCTTTGTCATCTGCACCAAGAGCCAGCAGCCTTTGGTTACAGGTAGGTCTTTCTCCAGGGGCGGTATGTGGCCATTCCCCTAAGTCCTGTTGAATATAACACTGTGACATTCTCTGACCAAAAAGCTGTCGTAGGCAGTTGTGCAGACCATGACCTCTGTCAGCGGTGCATCATGTAACAATACGCGTCCTATTATACTGCATCAATATAGGTCAGATATTTGGTATCAGTCAAAAATGGGAGGGAAAATTATTTCAGGCCCAAGAATTTATGGTGTGGTTTAGTGAGTACCTGCATGATTTTAAATCCTGATTATGTGTTTTGCTCAACTACACAGTCTCTGAACGTGACCCTTCTTCGTACCGTTAAGAAAAACACTCAGAGATTTGTGTCACAAGTTTATTATACTTCTCCAATGGACATACCTGCTGTTAAGATGGTGAAGCAGAGGGGAGCTGATGCTTTGGGTCTTAGCAGCAGCAATACAGCCTGAGGTCACTCGTGCGTCGGTTGCTGTGGCCAGTTAGGTGAACGCAGAGATGGCAAACGGCTCTGCTGGGCAGCAGCAGTTTGTGTTCAGTGGGAGCGACGGACTCCAGTGCTGTGCTCTGACACCCTCCTCCCAGTAAATTCTCTTAAAAACCCCCAGAAATACCTGGCGAGCCCTCCTGTAGCTATTGCTGCTTCCGAGCGGCATCGGGGCACCAGGGCCAACTGCCTCAGCCCGTACCCGGTTCCCGGCTGGTTCCCGGGGCGCCCCGGCCGCGCAGGGAGCT